TGTCCACTAGATGACCTCCACTCTCGCTCAGAACAAAAGAACTCTAAACAACCCTCAGACGATTGGGGAAGTACTCATGAAAGAGCTGTTAATAAACAATGAGAAAATCAATCGTGCGCTTAAGAAATATCCGCACATGCAGGAGGCGTCCTTCAATCAAAGTGGCCGTGGCCAATCGATCTGCTACAGCGAGGTGGACACGTACCATCAACAAGACGGAGGCCTATTTCCAAGCCGAATGTGTGCAGTGCCATTCGGAGGTGCTCCATGTAGCCGAGAAGCGCCATCCCGTCTCTTATATAGCCAACACTTCAAACGGTTAAGTAGAAGTCCAAATCAGTAACTCATCATAGACCAATGCTTTCGAGGCATTCCAAATCATACAGCGAATGCCAGGTGCAATAGAGATTAGCGTCAACGCCTTCCGAGCAGCCGGCAGTTATCTAAAGGACTCACGGAACAGCCGGCAGTTGTCTAAAAGACTCACGGAACCTCCATGGGACATCTGTAAAGAGGAGCATCTTCCCTCGGTACTCAGCCATACCATGGCGTAAGGCCCTATAGCATGCTCTTTGGTATGCGCGCTTAATGCGCGACCGGACAAAGATAAGGCCGTAGCCACCAAAAGCCCATACCTCATGTAACTTCGTGGAAAGAGAAGATGTATCCATGTCCACTAGATGACCTCCACTCTCGCTCAGAACTCTAAGCAACCCTCACGCCGGATATAAGAGCACGTTAAAAAGGGGTAGCATCAATTCGCATATCCCCCGGAATTAGGACCGGGAAATCCAGTTCGGTCTTCAGTAGAAAAATAGCGGCAACCAAAAAAAAAAGGCCAGTACACCATCACAAAAACAGAGTCGCAAAACTCATGGCACACCGCCCCAAAGCGACCGTGGTTCTTGAACTAGAAATGGCGCTTATAATCTAATATCCCAATTCTAATACATCAAATTCACGGACAAAACTAACTAAACCGCTATTTATCTTAAAATCAAAACCCCCTAAGAAATTCCGTTGTATAAAAAGAAAATTACTACTATAAAATAATCATGTTCAATACCAAAATAACCTAATTCCGTAGAAGAAATTCCAATCGAAATAATACATCTATTCGAATATATATATATATATTAAATATACAAAATATAAGATATATATAGATATATTTTTTTCATATAATATTAGGTCTAATTTTTGGATTTATTTATTCCATCCAAATAGCCCGAATAAGAGCAAATCGATGAATTCCTGAGTTCGGAAAAATATAGATTTCAAATCTCCAATTAATTTCGGTAAAAAAGGTGTATTGAAACCTGCAGTATTTCTGCAAAATTGACGAACATAAAGCTTTGTCAAATGGATTTGAAAAACCACCTTATTACCCTTCATGGCAACATCAATGTAATTATCAACATCCAGTCCATTCCGAACAGTTAAACCCAGTATGTGAATATATGTGAAAGGTAACACTATCTGACACATTGATATTGATATGCCTTAAGAACCCTTGAGAAACCAAGCCTTCAAGTTTTCTCCAGGACCTTCGGCATCCTGCCCACAAGTCTAGCAAGGTCTGACTGTACACTGCCTTGTCGGGCATCGCGCAGTTCAAAGTTAATGAGAAGGGTAAACGACCTCTTCAAAGTCAGTATGCCCGACCTAACCCTACCGGCGGTGATACACTTTATTGCCGGCGGCGGAGTAGTGAAACTGCCCACCGCGCGGCCCCTGAAAAACGGCTCGGCCATTGGCTGAACCACTGGAAGAATGGAAACCAACAAAGCTGCCTGAGCTTGGCATACTGGAACTGAAGCTGCCTGACGGCATCCCAAAACCTCCAAAGCCAATAGTACGACTTGCGGGGCTAGGGTAGTGCCTGACCGGGCTGGGCGCACGCCTTGGTGGACTGGGCGGGCGCCTCGGAGGACTGGCCGCGGGCGTGCGGGGGTGGTACACCGGGTTTCCAGCAGCCGACATGTGGAACCTCCCGCCGCATGGGCCTTCGTACAAGCGGCTCCCGTTTGCAGAGCCCCTGGACTCGTACACCCCCACGTCCACAAAGGCTCCGCCGGGCGATGGCCGGTGCTGGTTCTCCGCAAGCAGCTCGGGCCTGTGAAGCTGCTCCAAAGCACTTCGGGCATCCCTGATCGATGCCTTGCTGTGCTCATCCCGGTAGGTCCTCATATCACCTTATACTGAGTGGGGGTTACCAAACTGACTGCTTTATATAATATATTAGAATACATACATGTCAATGTATAACGCTTTTTTGTTCGTGCTGCCCCTACTAGTTGCATCCTACCACCATCCGTACAGAAAGCTTCTTCCACGTGAGGCTTCAAGTCGCGGTCTGCCACCCACTGTCGCCCGGGCCGACTTTGTTGAGCCATGACCTTCAGCAAATGGCCGCAAGTATTTGAAGACATCCGACCCTCCGCAACAACGTCGCGCAGCGCGGTGTTCAGGCGGTCGGCCAACTGTTGGTCCATCTGATCCTCATTGTGATTGACACTCGGGCAAATTGGTTCAAAGTCGAACAATTTTCGGAAGGCAAGAGAAATCAAGAAGTAATAAGTTTCAACCAAAAGCACTGTATGCTTCAGCAGTTTTGTGGCTACCAACGGTTCAAGTTCAACTGCCGGACCAAAAGATAGGCAACTCATAACTCATGGCTTTTAAATATTTCTGAGAATCCAGGTTGGTGGTGATATGATCGAAGAAGCCAGCGCGACCCTCCTGGCGCCGCTGCTGGACGTTGTGCCTTCCCTCCTGGTTTCGGATGTTGTCATCGCTGTAGCCGAAACGTACGAGCTCACTCCTGATCGGATGACGCATGATCAAGGTGCGGCCCAAAAAATTGAAGAAACCAAACAAAGTTTCCTAAAACCTCATGTTTGTTTGCCGGAAAACAGTACACAGGTAATAGACATCCATGTGATATAAAATAGGCTGTGACACTGTGATATGCTTTGACCACAATTAGATCAAATCCTAGCTTCTGGATCTCCGGGTCTGTGGTCTGAGCAAAAGCCTTGTACAACAAGGAGTTTGGGACCTTGTGGCATTCTTGCTGATCAGCGAAGTCAGGACTAGGATGTCTGTTGGCATGCTTCTTTTGAGAAGCCCTGCGGAAGGCATCAGGGCTCTGAATCTTTGTAAGCTCCTCTCTGGACAAAGGCCTTGGGTCAGCAGTGGTGGGTGAACACAGTGGCAGAGAGTACTGGACCCGCATTCAACTCATTGTCATGAGCCATTGGCACTGCCATTGGCCTAGTCAAAATGAGACGCCATAGTCGTCCCAAACCAAATAGATATGATTTCAAGCCGACCGTGAAAGTTCAGTTCTATGTATATATTTAAACTTAAATACAAAGTGCCAAAAGTTGTTGAGCATTTGGATCAGTCTAGTCAGTCAAGTATGGGTGAGTCACCATCACAGGCCTTGTAGATTGAATGGATTTCGCACGCAACATCAACAACTTCTTGACTCTTGAAGCTTATGGGGTGTCCAGGTCTACTTGCTGTCAAGTCTTCGGTTCCAAGCCAATCACTCAATCATATTCACATATGAGACTTCAATCCTTGGACACCACCACTACCAAATAATATAAAACAACTTACCCACCTATAGTCTACAAAACCTCAGCATCGCCCAGCCATCCCTTTGGTGCCAAGATTCCGCTCTTGAAACTCTGGCGGTGGGGAGGGTGGTCGTGGCCGGCCGCTGTCCACCGCCTCCTCGACCAAAGCCAGTAGCACGGCCGCCCGATCCTCTGCGCTCATAGCTTCCAAGGGGTCGTGGCCACCTGCCTCGTAGCTCCAACGCAGTGGCGATGCCGCCCGTCGGTCGGTCGGTGGTGTTGGCCGTGGGGAGGCCGTGGGAGAGCTGGACGCATCCTCCTGCCAAATGCGCAGGATGGCGGCCTGATCCTCCAAGCTCAGCTGGTCCCAATCCGCCATGGTGAACTAAAGGTCCCAGCGTAGTGAGTCAGAGAATTAGTAAGCCTCAATGGCTGCATAAGAAATCCAGCAACAATTCTCAGCTTGGTCAACGAGAATGCATTTATGCCAAGCAATGGTTAACCGTTAACAAATTACACCACCGTAGACCCCAAACAGGTGGGACAACAACGAAGCATTCCCAAGTCCACTTTTTGAGACATCAACAAGAAGGGAGACAGTGGCCAACAAGAAGGACAAGACCGGAGACAAAGGGAGACAAGAAGGAAGACAAGGCGGACA